TATCAGTTATTAATTACATCTGCGCTTTTCCTGCTATGACATGACAAAATGTCTGCTGTGGAAAAGGTCTAGTCAGCACCTTAAACACCTACACTACCAAAGCACACTGACGTAATCAGTTTTTAATCCTTACATTGTTGTTATTTGACTTTACCAGGTCTACTCTTTTGGGTAAATCAGTGTCAAAGTGTGCAGCCATAAAAAAAAATATATATTAATTTGTTTTAGCTAAATTAAATTCTTGCCCATTTCAGTATATCTTAAGTTTTTGTAAATAGCTCAATTTGTTGACTAGAAATTGAATTAATCAAAGAACCAGAAAGCCACTTTTAGGTGTCCATTTTTCATCAGCTGCAACTAGTTATTGCAGTTTCTAGTGTTCTTGGCCGATTCTAAGAGCATGCATGTTATTAGCCTTGAGATGCTTTTGAGAACTTAAAATTTTGGTTTACATTCAGTTTAGTATTTTGTTTGTCTTTCTACAGCTCTGTAAGGTACAACAATACATTAAATGTTTCTGTCCTTCGAGTCCACAAACTGATTTTCTTGCACTTCCTTTTTCCAAGCCGTCTCACCTCCGACTGAACTCTTGAGTGCAGCCTTTCACCTTTCTCCCTCACTCTTCCCCCTGAAACTTTCCCTCTTGCCACCCCTTGTGCCCATCCATCCAACCCCCACCCCTGAGGTGAAACCTTACTCGTGGATAAATTTAGCAGCAGTGTGACCCAACGTTCACTGACACACTTCTCCGCACCTCTCCCTCTCTCACGCCGTTTGCCTCTCTTTCAGCCCATCTCTCCCAGGAGGCCTGTTGTACAGACAGATGGAGGGCTTTAACCTTTACACAAAAACAAAGACAAGTTATTAACAATATTTCACAACATTAACGCAGCGTTTCAACTTGTAACTATTGACGTAACTACTAATAGTTTAATTATGACATTACAGCCACCTCTGTAATTGAAAAGACAGATCAAGTGACTGCGATATCATGTGAAATTTAATGGCTTAATCGTCTACATCCCAGTCATTCCAGTCTGCGAGACATTTGGCAGGTGAACATTATCCCTTTTAGTAGCCTGTAACATTTGAGACTTATGAGATCTGTTTCACTGCTGTTGACATTCTCAAAGATTCAGACTTGTGTCTCTTCACACAACCTCACTTTAACCACATCTATTAAATAAATTGTCGCACACAAACAGCTGTATCAAAGCAAGCGCACACAAACAGTATGGTAATCTGTTGTCGCCAGCCTGCTGGAGCGTGTCTGTCAGTGTGACACAAGTCCACAGAGGGTGCTTCCTGTTTGGAAAGGTCAAGGGTCGACAATAGCTGTGTAACTTGAAAGTAATTAACAGAACTTTACAAACCCAGCAAGCATGTATTTAGTAATCTGCAAGTCAAGAGGATGTCTAGACTTCTAGGTCAAAACTGGGTTAAATTTGGTTAAAAAGAAACCTTTTTAGAAGTCTTGTTAAGTGTAAAGTTTATTTTATGGGTCTGAGATATCCAGATAATTTGTTAATAATTTTGTAAAGGTTTCCTGAAAAGAACTATGCAATTAGGTGCTAATTATGGGAAAAGAATGTTTTATTTCTCATACACTTTCACCACCATCTGCAACAGGTGTGCATTAGATAACACTTTGTTTGTATTATTAAAGGGAAAACAAAGACAGAGATCAATTGGTACACATCCAATTATCTGCTTACAATTAATAAACAGAGCAATTCAACAAATATAGAGAATAAAGTTTTCAATAATGAATGAATCATCCATTTGCCATCCCGGCTTATCCTATGGAGGGTCTTGGGTAAATAAATATTCAATGAGTAATAACTCAAACTTTAAATGGTGCTTTGCTTTCAAGGCAATTTCCTACTTTCTATATAATTAGAATCAAAAGGATCTAGAATAATATTAGGACATTACAGGCCTATAAAATAAAGCCTTGCCAGTTTTTCTTATCCTGTCTTGTCCCATTACTTTTTTCTATTTGCTCATATTTATTCAATTCCTATGTAATTTCTTTAATTATTTGTGCAAGCGCATTCATTTTGTGGAATCTTGACATGTTTAATGACCATAACGCTGTTAGTGTGAAGCAGGTCCTCAATGCAAAACACTTTTAAAACAAACTGAACCCAGTTTTAAATCCAACACTTACTAGGAACAATAAAAACAAAGCTTCTGTTGCAACCTCGCAGAATCAGCATTCATCTGTGAAGATTTAGCCAACTAAACAATCAACATGAAAATATACTCTGCCTTTTCCTGCTGCTGATCAATAAAGAAATTGTAATAGGATGCTCTATTAACAGCTCTACACATAAACTCTTTAAGTCCCGCCAGGCTCTAATTTCCACACACACACACACACACGCCATCACAGCTTTCACACCTGAGAGATGTGAGACTTCGCAATGAGACATTAAGCCTGTAAATTGTGTGGTTAATTGAGATTTCTTATTTATATCTGATCTGTGGGCCCCCCTGAGGGGCCAAGATTTAGAGATTTGCTGTGGGCAACCGTCCATCGTCTCAGAGGAGACCTTATAATTCTTATAATTCAAATTTAACTCCTTCTAAATGTCCTGTAAAAACGCTGGACGTAAACACAATGCTGAAATGCTGATCTGATGCTGTTAGTCGTGTGTTCATAGAGCAGGTGTGATTCGAGGAACTTAATAGTAAAAAAGTCAAAGACAGACATGATGCTGCTGGGAGGAATGACCATCATTCTGTGTGAGCATTTGAACAGATGAACTGGGGGATACAGTGACATGACTTCATCTCAACACGTACATCTAACCTGTCTGCTCAGGTTTCCTGTATATAGGTATTTATATCCACCAACACAGAAAACAGGAAAGACTTTACAAGGCTGCAGCTTAAGGAGGCAAACAGATAAACAGGGTCACAAAAGAGAATTGCAGATGAAGATATAATCTGCATAAAAAATCCCACCCAAAACAATGAGATTGATGTGTGAAATCTAAATAAACGATAAAATCCTTAATTGGATGACTTTCCATCGAATGCCTTCACTCAGTGTTTCGTAGCGTGGGCGGTGTGAAACCAGTGCAGACTGTGAATGTGTCAGAGGGTTGTTCAAATAAACTTGACAAGAAGTAAAGAGAACAGAGGAGGAGACTGAGAGCACTGATGCTGGACAACAATGGATGCAGCAAATGAAAACAAATGACCTGGAGGTAGTTGTGGAGGAATAGCACTAAAAGCTAAGGTGCAAAAGAACTAGGGAAAGTGAAAGATGGTTGGAAAGGACTAAGTGACAGGTGGGTAGATGGGGAGTTGAGGGAGGTGAAGAAGGTGGAGGGGCATCAAATGAGGGGAAAGGAAAATACATTTTAAGAGACAGATATGACAGCAAACAGGCAGGCAGGTAATGAAAGATTTGGGAAAGACCTACCAGGGTCTGTTGGTATCTCAGAGCCTTCCTTTGAGACGCATCTGCAGCCATTGACACGCTGTCACTGATCCAAAAATAACCTCGCTGGACACCCCAGCATTTCCAATGGCTTGGGCAACACCACACACACACACACACTCTCTCTCTCTCTCTCCCTCGTATAAATGTACACACACAAACACACTTTACACCAGGTCAAATAAACACGCAAACATCTTCTAAAGTTTCTCAAACTCCTATAAACTCATTCTCAAACACACTCATTATATATCTAAAAAACTCCACAGATGATGTCCTTCCTGAACACACTCTTCTCCAGATGATCCAGAGGCTGCGAGCCATCCAGCTCCACTGCAGACCTGACAGACGCCCGGGCAGAAATCAGGAAGGCAGACAAAGCAGAGCAAAGCCATCTGATGAGGCAGTGAAGGACGTAGCGCTTTCCTTTATTAGAACTGCAGACACCTAATAACACACACAACTTGTTGCCCTTAGCAGCACCCTCCCTGCCAGCCGGCCATTAGGTGTATGTGTGTGTGTGTGTTTGGATGGACTGTTCCTGTTTGGACAGGGGGGAGGTGGTGGGGGCTGGAAGGGCACCCCCCATAGGGCTGCCCTGCAACGTGAGCAGGAAGGTGCACATGACACCCCTTTGACAGCTCACACCTAATCAGCCAATGATGCAAGGCAATCCCCATAACACTCACATGCTAAAGCAGTCCTCCCTTAGGGGAGTTTCCTTTTTTTTTCTTAAAATCACCCACCCACTCGTATGGTAAAAGACCCCCCTCAAGACACTTGTACGTCCCACTGTAGAGCACAGTAAAGTGATCTCCATGTTGCTTAACCTCTCTCAGATGTCTGAAGGAGCTAATACAGGAAGGGAGCTAAGCGTATATGTGCTGCACATCATTCGCTAAAAGCTGAAAAGCTCACAGGCTTTCAGGGTAGACCACCCCTGCTCTGCACCCCCAGTGAGACAACATCCCACCCAGACAAGTTAATCTAAACGTCTCTAACTCATCTCATGGTTCTTCCTCTCAGGCTGATGGGACAGGGCAGCCATTATGACAACCACAAAGACACACACAGATCCCCCTTAACCCCGCCCTGCTTTGAGGTCCACACGCCAGCACGTAACAGCCTAATCTCACAGCTACAACAGAGGCCAGCGAGAAATGTGTTACTCTGACCGCCAGCGCGTGTGTGTGTCAAGGGAGAATGACTGTGGACAGCTGGCTGGGCCTCTATCTGATACACTAAGAACATTATCACTGGGTGGCAGGCAGTGTGAGGGCTACATACGTCCCAGTCACAGCACAGAGAGACCTGAGCGCAGCGGAATAGTGGGGAGCCAGTTATACAATACCTGAGAACGGAGAGGACAGGCTGTATGCTGGGAACAACACACACAAACACAGCAACAAGGTGGATCAAATAAAGTGGAGCATACACAGGAGCAGCATTAGCGCAGAGGGCTACCAGGTTTCAGCTTAAGTCAAATAAATGCAGAGGAAAATGCAGATACACTCACATGCAGCTGTAAGAAAGAAAAACAAAACAAATGTTTGTCTTGTTTGAAAACCATGGCTCGTTTATTGTATAGAACATTTGGCAGTCATTGGCGTTGACAGAAATAAATCTCTCCCGGCCCCCCCACACTGCACCTCAGCAGAGCAAGTTCTCACCCTGAAGGGAAGTTACCCTTCTATATTAACACTCCAATGCTTTTGTTTTACATTTCCTAATTAAAAAAAACAAAAACATAAGAGGAGTGAGCACCTTCCTAGACATGGGTAAACTCTACCACAAGCACCGTACAGCTTAAAAGCATCTTTGTTTACATATGGTTAACAATCAATACCGTTTTTCCACCATATATTGTTTTCTTCACTACAACACTGTTGTAACTAAACACACTGCCCCTGGTCAGGACTGTTCTCGGAAACATCAATGCATACAATGCCTTGAGAAATTGATTTCTCTGTGTGTGGGCGTGCCAAAGTGATACAACATACTGTGAAAGCTCCATGGTCATAAATTTATCTAATAGACCATCCTCACATGGTTGCCATAGAATTGTTCATGGAAGACATGTATTATCCTTATTGTATAAAATACAGTAAAATACCACTGGAGGGGGACAAACTAAATATGCAGCCCAGACATAGGGAGAAACACTATTCCGTGTTAGCGTAAAGGTCAGAGTTCATACTGTAGATGTATGACCCCACAAGTAGCACCGCATTCCCCTGGCAGCCCACCACCATGGCAGAGACAGATATATGGTAACACAGCTCACATGAAGTGAAATTTACAGCAAGTGGCTTCATAAAATTTAAGGTTAAAAAGCTGAATTTTCCTGACTCAATATCTGCAAACAAAAGTGAAAAAGTAAATGACACTTGTTTTGAAGCTGCCCTGTAGGTGTTTTTCCTTGTCATGAGAGAAAAAATAAAAGCAAACTTCTCTAATGAGAGCAGGACAAAACCTGCTGCAAAGACTTTACTGTTTAAAAATCACTGTAGCTGACTATAACTAAAATAAAAGCGGTCTGCAATCATAACAGTAAAGAACTTTGAACTGCAGAGGATATGAATAATATTGATGAAAGGCAAATTATTCAAGGTATTTGTCTCTGCTGTGCTGCCCCCCGCCTGTCACTATACTAACAACAAGAAATGGTCACAACTTATTATAAACATTATATACAAATAAAGACAATGGGCCTAAAAATCCTTATAAAAACAATTTCATACAAAATAAAGCCACAAAAATAGATATGTGTACAAAATACATTTTAAGAGAGTGAAACCTCAGAGTAGCTGTGCAGTAAGAAAACAAACAAAAAAATACGATCCTGTCTTTGACTAAAAAGGATTAACATCTAAATCCTCTAACTGGCATTGACGCAGATACACAAGTAAGTTGTTTGCAAATATGTTGCCCATTTCCAAGTACATTAACATAAGCGTGCTCCTTTTTCCTTTCCAAGATTTGTGTATGGACGTGTGTGTGTGTGTGTGTCTGTCTGTGGGTTTGTGGAGGCAGTATTTACACAGAAAATATGAATGAATAAATCCTCTGTTTGGGTGTGAAGTTGGAACAGGGGAATGTGTGAGTGTGCGGCAGTAATTGGCGTGGAATTAACAGTGGTGGGCCATTATTGAGTGGCTGTAATGCAAGGAATGGTCTGCGTGTGTTAATCTGTGTATGTGCATATTTGCACATCAATACTGGGGCTGGTACTTGGGGAAAAGGTAGAGGTCTTTACACAAAGAGCTGGTGAACTCCGACATCTCTTTACAGCGATGGTGGGCGGTGCCAGGAGCGTAACCCTCTCGCTCCTTAATACGCCCGTTGACCTAGAGACAGAAAAATAAAAGACAGGAGGATCAGAGTAATGTCTTTAAGAAGTTAACGTAATAATAAAGCATATTTTACACTGTGAATGCAGTAAATGAAATGATATAACACTTTATGTTCACCTGCACCATGATGTCTGCAAGGTGTGCGTCTCTGGCATGGAGGCGAAGTGCTGTGTTAAGTTCCTGGATAAACCAGGATCCTCTCTTGGTGTTCCGCATGGCTGCAGTGCCTTGAGGATGAAGAGGTCAAAAAATAACAGGCTTAATACATCGAGATAAGATGCAGGGAGACAGAACTAACTATAAGTCATCAAACAATAATAACTGCCGTGGAAAAGTAGTAGACCAAAATAGGTGAAAGCAGAGCTCAAAGGAAATGTTATCAATCAATACGATTTTAACCCTTGATACATTTGTTCTTAAGAGTAGGGCTGGGAAATAAAACAAAAAGGATAATGATCATGATATAATTTACCTCAATGACAATATAACAAATGTTCAATAAATATTTGATTTAATTCATTTAAAACATAAACAAATTAGTACTTAATATTTCTATTTAGATATTTATTTTGTTGAAAAAAAAAAAAAGGCACAAAAAAAGATTTGACTTCATTTTACTCATGCATATTTTTTGTATTTTATGCTCTCATTGGCTGGATGTGGATGTCGAGTTGGCTGACTTCTCCAAATATTTGGCATGCTACATGTCTGGCAGACGTCGGCGATGTGTCAGAAATGTGTCGGGGAGCTGTTTTGTTGCGCCATTGAGTAGTTCACACATAACGACTGGTGACCACCGATCAACCGCTGATTTACTCCAGATCACAGCCTCACGGTCGCCGAGCTTTCCGAGCGGCAAATCATGCTAAAAATCGTGCAGTGTGAACTAGGCTTAACTCTTTGAATGAGAATACCACCATCACTCAATTAAATTGGCTATTGATGCTACTGTATAACACCACAATATTAATTAACATCTCAAAATGCAAAATGAACTGATGATGCACAAATTGAAGGTTAATTTGTCTCTGTATATAATAAGGTCAACCTTAGGGAGATCAGATTACCACGAGCTGTGCTTCTGCAAATGTGGAACTTCAATGTAATTTTCATGAATGAACACTTTCTGACATATCCGTAAGGGCGTGTAGCCCTATATGGTGTCATAGGGGCGTTAATTATGCTGATTTACCATTCTCATGACGTAACACTCAATTACACACGACAGGCATCACGTTTACAATTGCCAAAGGCATTCATCATGTTTACACATGCCGTAACCAGTTATCTGAAGTTGGGAGCGTTAGCTGAATCTGAAGTGGTACACTAATAGGAAAACAAAAACGTTCTTGCATTAGTCCCGTTGCCTTTATTGTTTTATTCCACACACCTGGCACCTACATTATCCACAATGCAAGTTGATCACCAACAGTTTTGTTGGATATTTGGGTGTTATGCTAGTATTGGCAAATGTATCCTTGAGTTGCTAGCCTCAGGGTTAATCAGATTTCACACAGCTCCCTCTGGAGCCACAAAAGGCTTTGTACAAGTTGCATAAGAACTCCCCAAGACTTCGATGTGCAAAATCAGTGGATTTTTAAAGACTCCAATATTATTCATATTGGTTGTTGCAGATAGTTCTTGTGTAGGCTGCGTGCATTACTGGTAGAAAACAAGGGCACATTAAGCCACAGTTGGGTACAGGTGCAGAACAAACAGACAGGTGGGTCCAGACACTGTATAACCTCTCTTTTCTCATTGCATGGATTACTCTCTACTGCTTCATTTATTTTACTCTTCAGATAAATAAATACCATATTTCATTAATAAGTCCTCCCCAGAATAGCAAAAGGGACAAACTTACAAATTCTCTGACCTTTGAGGGAGGCGAAGCCACAGATCATGTCAGAACGCTGGGGCAGTTTAATCCTAGGCCTACCCAGATCCCCTCTCTGTCTGGAGTTTGCATCCCCCTGTCCTTCCCTCCCAGCATCCCGCTGTTCACAGCTTGGTGAACAGGTCCTCGATGGCCCATCTATCTGCTCCACTCCACAGTCCATCTCCTCTGGAAGACAAGACAGTCTCAAATTAACCTCAAACATCCAACAGTTTTAATATCTGGTAAGAAAAAAATAGGGTGGTGTCAGTGTTGAGATGCTTTTTCTCTGACTACAAACAACCATTAGACTACAGTAGGAAAAATCTCGAGGGCACTGCTGTTTTTTTTCTGTCGCAGTCTTGACTTGATCTCAAAACGAGGACTTGTCTTGGACTCAATTTAAGGGGCGTCTTGGCTGCATCTCAGTGGAACATTTTGATAAATCAAAAATCTAAATAGCAAATACAGTAATCAGCTCACAGTTTTTAAACTGGATTCTTGAAATGATCTCTGAAAGGAAAGCTAACATCAGTAATTTGCATGAGCCTCAATTTCTGTATGAAAAAAACCGCATCAAAACGATTTCAGCCATTTCTCCAGTGTAGTTTCATTTCATTATTACTAAAGCTATTTGCAGAGGCAGTGGCCAACAACATCTAACGGCCTTACGGCAGCACACCTGTGGTGGGCTCTGTGGTGGAGTGAGGGAGTGTGTGAGAGTAATTAGCATTGCTCCTGAGGGGTCTCAGAGTTAGTCAAGAGTGTCATCAGCCATGTAGTCAGACCATAACCTCCATCACTAATTAGCTAGGAGCCTGGTTAAGTCACAAATTAATTACATGTTTATGGACTGTTATTATACTACTATTGTATTACGTTTTAATCTAGTCTACAACAGAACACAAATGTCAAATTTGACATATGACACCATCCACAGCATCTGGAGCTGTGTGGCTGACAGACAGCTGTGAAATTGTCACAGCTGTCCCAGTGGCCAGGAATGTAACAGCAGACAACCTCTGGACATGTGGAGGGACAGGCAGGCATCTGTCTTTTCTTACTCTTATAGTAAAAGATTGTATATGTTGCAGGGATCCAACTGATTTAAAATAGGTAGCGTTACAAAAATATATTCCCATCTTTATATTTGTGTATTATGATATGATCCCTTATGGGTCCGCTCCAGTGTCTTCTCCCAACCGCACATGCCCCAAATCCTGTGGACACACAGTTGGCCACTTGTATTCACCATGATGACACTACCGAAAGCTTATGACTATAAGTGATGTATGGACCTTACATCCAATGTTTAATTTATTTAGATTTAGATTTGCATACATGGCTACAATGAGTAGTCTACATGGGTTAGATATACTGTATAGGTAGGTTATGTTTCAGGTAAAATGAATGATGATAGAGGGGTGTACAGAATAAGACAGAGTCTTACCTCCTCTGCAGGCCTGGATAAAAAACATCTTGGGCTTGTTCTGCAGCAGGGGACAGTGCGCATTGTCAAAAGCTTCAAACACCCAGTCCAGCTGAAATGGACCAAGGGACACACATGTTAGATGTCAAGCTTACGTTCCTTCTCAGCCACTGCACTGAGAAGGAACAACGAATGCCACCTGGCTCTGCCATCCCTACACACAAAGCAATCTCAGTCCTATCTGTTCTCATCTGTGACACCACGATGGTGAAACGAGCTACCACACGCCGTCAGAGCAGGGGTGTCCCTCTCAAACTTCAAGAAGCTCTTGAAAACTCATCTCTTCCGAGAACACTTCCTCTTATAACACTAACCTCCAACATGCACTTCCTGTGCCCTTCTTCTTCTATCGCCTTACAATTCTCTTGTATTGATTGCACTATTCGTTAACTCTTCTTCCTAATTCTAGTATCTTTTGTCACTTGCGGATCTCATACTTTATTGATGCTTGTATGTAGTTCCTCAAATGTAATTTGCTTTGGATAACAGCATCCGCTAAATGAGTAAATGTCTGAAAAAGGGTTCGCATCTACCCTTGAATGGCATTATGAATCAATCAAGTTTATTTATCACATGTAACCTTATATGATGCAGTCGGAATTACAATGAAATCTAACCCCGCCAGATCCTTTAATTTGTGTAAATTGTGAAAATGAAACAATAAATTTGTTATAGTAATAAATATATGTGTAGGACTGTGGGGGCCCTTCTAGGTAGGACCATAGTGGCCTGAGGGTAGAGCCTTCCAGAGCCTGTCAGTGTTGGCATACATCAACACAGAAAACGATCAAACAAACACACCTGCAGGAGCTGTCCATCTGTGCCATATATAGCTCCTTCGACTCCATGGGAGAGCAGACACACCACACAGCTGTCCATTGACCGGTGTTCTGGCCGTCGGCAAAAGTTCTCAATGCACGTCCTCATGCCCTACGCAAAGAATAAGGATTCATGAAAACTGCAGTTAACACAGATAAGCATGTGTCCAAGGCTTTCAAAGTTTTCGGTTGCAAATTGCTTTTTTAATACCGAACATGTTGATAAGGCGATCACATGGTTACGATCCTTCTAGGTCTAAGTAGTAAATCCATTTAAAGTCAAGTTGTTCCCACCCCCACAGCAAAAACTTCGCAAAGTGTCCTTCAAAGTGTCTTTGAGCAAGACGCGGACAGCCAACACGCTTACCCATGCCAACCGTCTTAGAATAAGCTAAATGACTAAAATGTGTAAAGTGTCTTTGCTTTGTGATAACACTGATAACACATCGAACAGCACTGAAAATATGAGCTAACAAATATGTTAAATAATTCTTACACGAGTGATTTTCTCAAATGACACAAGGTTGTTCCTCTCCCTTTTAAACTTCCCTTTTCTAGCTTTGTCAGATAAATGAGATGGATGGATTGTGTTTCAAATAACTTCCAGTAAAAAACAGTGAGCATGCATCTGTGTGTGTGTGTGCGTGTGTGTGTGTGTGTAGTGTTACCTGAGCACTGAGGTCTCTGTGTACTGTAACCAGGTAGTCCAGCTCTGTGAAAACCTTCCTGAGGACCTCGTCATCCACCTCACCTCCCTTCCTAGTGTCAAGGTCGGGCGCAGCACAAGGATCAAAGGTCACGTTACTGATCACCAAAGCAAAACCACGAGGGGATGAATTCATTCTGTAAGACTGGAGGGCAGGAAATAAGAGAAAAACAAAAATAGCATGTTAAAGAAATGGAAAGGGCAAGAATGGATCAATGAGTCAGAAATAACCTCATGACAAAGCATTTGCAAAACATATGTTTCTATAAAGGGCTTTAACACTGTTGTATAGTTCAGTTCAACAAACAAAAAAATCAAATACATTACATTATACTAGTATGACTTTTTACTATGGTTGGGTATCGTTTAAAATATTACGATACCAGTACCAAAACCAGTACCCTTAAAGTGATACTGATACCAAAATAGTACTTACTCGATACCTTGCATAAAATGCCACCTGTTGAAGCCATGGTAGTTGATTGGTAGCCTATTATTATTTTTATTGTTGTTGTGGACAAGCAAGGTTATCTTTTTTATTTTTTTTTCTTGTTTCAAATAATTGTTACATAAATGTATTTGGAAATTGTATGAGATGGTTCCTCAACCTCAGCCTCACAGGTAGTAGTATGCAGGGAAGGAAGACAGTTTTGGAGTTTTTTTATATTTGAATGAGAGAAGAGTGAAATAGTTTAGTGACCAAATAAGTTATGGGAAACAAATTTAAGGAAATTTTTTGATATGTGTGTTGAAAGTAAACAATGGAAACTTTCAACAGTGACGAACATGCCTGAGGCCGCAGCCGAAGGTGAGCGGCTGTTCAAATCACGCATGGACTTGGCACATGCAGGCCTTTTTTTATTTATACAGTTTATGGTGCAGGCACATGTAGGGGGAAAAAAAGGTTTGCTCTTCTCTTTCTTTCGGTGTGTTGTTTGCGTGTTTGGCTGCAAGCAAACACCTACAAATAATCATTTTTTGCTAGAATCTGGTTACAAAAAGTATCAATTTCGATTCTACTTGATACTGGGCTGTTTCAGACGATACCATAAAAGGTATCGAGTAACGATGCCCATCCCTACTTTTTACAAATAAAATACATATAATACAATAAATACATATATAGGGACTCAAGTCTTTCAAAGGGCCGCAGGTAATGAATAACTAAAAAAGAAAGCAACCTGTTGAACTGAAACTTGATTAAGAGGAGTATTTTACCTGTTGGCAGTGAGAAAGGTAAAAATCAGGAGTGCACGGGAGTACAGGAGTGTTGATGGGACTATCTGCATCCAGACTAAACTCCATGGACTCTGCCACACACACAAACACAGACACACAATGTTAAACTGTGGTTGTTACAAATGAAATTGCTGATACAGGTTTTCACACCATCGTGTGTTCCCACCAGCACTTGTATGACAACAAACTTTGTATTGCAATGCTGTGAATGAGTCACTCCTGGGGCGTGGCGCCTGTAGGTATGGACTATAAAAAATGCTAGAACCACCACACTCCTACACTTGGGATTATACAATGAACAGTTCACACACAGTAAAGTCTCTCAAGCTGCTGCTGGCTACAAAATGTTTTTGTGTGAAGTATTTTCAATTATCTGTCTATTTAAACTGGACAACAGATAAAGCCTTATCTCCGGACACCACCCCCAATGTCTCCACGGAAACAGAACAATATTGCCGACAACATGGGACACCTATTTTTTTTCCTGAATGCAGGCTACATTGCAGTATAACTCACCATGTGTCCTTGCTTTCTTGGCAGGGATTCCTTCTTGAGTGGGAAGTGGAAGAGAGGAGCCCACAAACCTCTGAAATTTAAAATCACGCACAAATTATGAATGACTAAACATCAGCTGCTTAACACAAAAAAACTAAGATTTTGATCTTTGCTGTGGCAGCTACTGATGCTTGGTGTGGGAATGAGACAACTGCAATCATAACTTAACTATTAAGGAATCTCCTGCCTGCTGTTTGACTACCTCAGCAGGTCATCTGGTTGTCTAACAAGATGGATATGGTTTGTGATTCTCACATCTGTCGACTTATCTCTTCCTCCTTTCTTCATCTTTTGTGTCTCTGTCCTCCTGTCTTCCTCCGTGACTGGGACCAACCCTCTGAATGATGACTCTGAGCATGGGCTGCTATCTGAGGCTTGGACTGGACATGACGAGGTGCTGCTCACCTCACTCTTTTCTTCTCTGTCTACAGACGATGTCTGCAACTTTTTTTTCAGACTGTGAGCAAGTACAGTATCTCACAAAAGTGAGTACACCCCTCACATTTTTGTAAATACCTGATTATATCTTTTCATGTGACAACACTGAAGAAATGACACTTCTACAATGTAAAGTAATGATTGTATAGCTTGTATAACAGTATAAATATGCTGTCCCCTCAGAATAACACATCACACAGCCATTAATGTCTAAACCGCTGGCAACAAAAGTGAGTACACCCCTAAGTGAAAATGTCCAAATTGGGCCCAATTAGCCATTTTCCCTCCCCGTTGTCATGTGACTCGTTAGTGTTAGGAGGTCTCAGGTGTGAATGGGGTGCAGGTGTGTTAAATTTGGTGTTATCGCTCTCACACTCCTTCATACTGGTCACTGGAAGTTCAACAAGGCAAATAACTCTCTGGGGATCTGAAAAAGAACTGTTGCTCTACATAAAAATGGCCTAGGCTATAGGAAGATTGCCAAGACTCTGAAACTGAGCTGCAGCACGGTGGCCAAGACCATAAAGCGGTTCAACAGGACAGGTTACACTCAGCACAGGCCTCGCCATGGTCGACCAAATCCAGAGGTTGTCTTTGGGAAGTAGACGTATGAGTGCTGCCAGCATTGCTGCAGAGGTTGAAGGGGTGTGGGGTCAGCCTGTCAGTGCTCAAACAATACACTGCATGAGATTGGTCTGCATGGCTGTTGTCCCAGAAGGAAGCCTCTTCTAAAGATGATGCACAAGAAAGCCTGCAAACAGTTTGCTGAAGACGAGCAGACTAAGGACGTGGATTACTGGAACCATGTCCTGTGGTCTGATGAGACCAAGATAAACTTATTTGGTTCAGAAGGTGTCAACAATGTGTGGAGGCAACCAGGTGAGGAGTACAAAGACAAGTGTGTCTTGCCTACAGCCAAGCACGGTGGTGGGACTGTCATGGTCTGGGGCTGCATGAGTGTTGCCGGCACTGGGGAGCTACAGTTCATTGAGGGAACCATGAATGCCAACGTGTACTGTGACATATTGAAGAACATGATCCCCTCTCTCCTGAGACTGGGCCGCAGGGCAGTATTCCAACATAACGACCCCAAACACTCCTCCAAGAAGACCGCTGCCTTGCTACAGAAGCTGAGGGTAATAGTGATTGACTGGCCAAGCATGTCTCAGACCTAAACCTTATTAAGCATCTGTGGGGCATCCTCAAACGGAAGGTGGAGGAGCGCAAGGTCTCTAACATCCACCAGCTCCGTGATGTCATCATGGAGGAGTAGAAGAGGACTCCAGTGGCAACCTGTGAAGCTCTGAACTCCATGACCAAGAGGGTTAAGGCAGTGCTGGACAATAATGTTGGCCACACAAAATATTGACACTCTGGGCCCAATTTGGACATTTTCACTTAGGGGTGTACTCACTTTTATTGCCAGCGGTTTAGACATTAATGGCTGTGTGATGTGATACTTTGAGGGGACAGCATATTTACACTGTTATATAAGCTGTACACTCACTACTTTGTAGCAAAGTGTCCTTTCTTCAGTGTTGTCACATGAAAAGAGATAATCAAATAATTACAAAAATGGGAGGGGTGTATTGCCTATTTGGAGATACAATATAATTGAGCTGACAATTATGCAAGCTTCTCATTTAAGACAAATAAAGTTCTGTCTAAGTCTTGTGAAAATGTCAACAGTGACGATGCCTGCAGTAATCTTTGTTTAGGAAGTTTTAAGCACGCCGCTAACCTCTTATAGTTTCTGTTGTCTGCATGACTAGTCGCCCTGCTTCTACCTCTGGGTCTTCTTCAGTATGAATACTCTGAGCAGAAAACAGTCCAAGAACTGCACTAAGTCTGGTAAGAATCTGCTCTGTATACTGTAGCTGTGTGTGGTGATGCTTGATGAAATGCACACTCACCTCTACATGTGTCTCTCTGCTGTCTTTTTCTTGTGATTGTGTGAGCAGGTCACACAGGTGCTGCTGTTCAGTTTCTTGCAGAGCTGAGCAAAAGCTGGTAAAGGCTCTGGGCCCTCTCTTTGGTAAGAGTAGTAGTAACTGCCAGCTTCGTTCCTGAGATGTTTGTTTAGCCTAGATTAGAGGAGACTACATCAGAAAACTAACTAAATCACTGACAGTGTGATAATTGTAAATCAAATGCACTATCATTATCGTTGCCAACTGTTGACTCTCTACAGTTAAGTGTCACCAAGATCTGTCTAAATAAAATGGCATGCACTCAAGCAGACATTGGTTGTTTTAATGGGGGCATCTTCAGGGGTAATGAGCATGGTCAGGTAGGAAGAAATCCTTGCATTCACATGGAATTGTTTCAAAACTAGGCTTTGTCTTGGGCATCAGTGCCGCATAAGGCTGCAGTAACATTAACACATATGGACTTTACACTCATACATCATACAGTCCACACCACACATTTACAAAACGTTGCACAAGTATCTGAGACACTACACCTGTCAGTACTTGATTACAAGGTAAGTAGAACCAGAGTGATATGAAACCTCTGAATAATTCTAGTCACTTGCACTTGAGCTCAAAGCAGTGAACAATAGAACTGTTATAATGGTATGCAGTTTAGCCAAGAGATGAATTTAAATTATTTTTAAAGGCCTAAATAAGTGAATGTATATTGTATTTTACAATAAAAAAAATACTGAAACATTCCCTTTAATCATATTTTGACACCTCAAATTTATCACAGCACCCCTCAGGGACTTTCTCCCAGGTCGTGAAACCTCAACCTTTCCCAAAACTGCTGGCTGCCAAGCAACAACCAACTCACAGCAAGTTAAACTGGTGTTTATAATATTTAATGTTTAGAAGGCTGACTCAAGTTACAGATTAACATCTGTGAACAGTCATTTGATCTATCTTTTGTTGAGCTTTATTACATGAGGGTCCTGCATGAATCGATATCCATATATCGGTCTGTTCACATACCATAATTCTCTCTGCCATGCTCTCGGTTAGGATGTCGTCCGCCTGCAAGGACTGAATGAGCAGCTCATCCACCACCAGCTGCTTGCAGAGAATAGCAGAGCGTTTCCGCAGAGCCCGTCTGTCCCGCTCCAGCATGCCACACTCCAACATTTTGCCCCAACAGACTGAGTAACGTTATAGGACAGGTAACAAGACACATGAACTTCCGTAACAATAAAACCACAGTATAACGAAGTGACAGACAATGTCAACAAACCTCAGCGTGCTGCCACAAGTGTGGTCTTTCTTCTTCTTTTTTTTTTAACTTTAAATAGCAACGAGACAGTAAAGTCGTACCCTTCACTTTTTGGGGGATCAATCGGACATGTTTTCCAAATAGTTGTACAATAGTTAACGTATCGCCACAAAACAGTGAATGAACAATGTACTTTTAAAAGCCATAACAAAACCACTAACAATACTAGCTGAACAACGCAGGTGTATAAAAGGAGCAGCGAACTAATGAGTTAACGGTAACTAACGTTAAATGTATAGCTTTATATTATCATATGAAAAAAACGTCACTATGCAAGAGACTGTAGGTAAACAATGTAACGTTACAGTTAAACGTTGATGGCTAATTACCCCCGTGCTAACTAGCTAGCTAGCTCATATAGGGATTGCTTTTTTTTTTCCTTTCATTAAAGTGAGAGAAATGTAATTCCTCCCAAACCTACTTCTTACCGTTCCTCTGTCTCTACAACACAACACCAAACTGTCCAGAACAACAACAAAGTGTCGAAGCGTTTAACACTATTTCACGCAAATTAACAACATCCCGTCCTCAGTCCACAAACCAACTTCCGCGGGGTATTCAGTGACAAAATGGTTGCGGGCGGGGCTACAAGTCGTTGTTTTGGATTCTGACCAATGAGAGCAAAATACAATTTGAGTGGCGTTTCAGATCTCCAATCACCGGGTTTCTTACAGACAGGTTGACCCATTGAAGTGAACCTACTGTAAGGCAGAGGATTCAAGGGCATTTTGAATTTGAATCTGTTTTCTGTAAATAAGTAGCCAATTGATAAGGAGCACTTTGAAGATAGGGCAAACAGTCTACTAATAAAAAAAAACTATTTAACTGGAAGAGGATGGACTGATTTCGGCTCAAAAGGAAAAAAAAACGCAGTAGGATTCAAAATAAACTGATTTCCAAAAATGATAGTAGCATGATCATAATATCAAATTTAATTAAGATTATGTAATTAACAGTGGTGGAATGTAATATGCCATTTACTCAAATACTTTACTTAGTGAAATGTTGGGATACTTATACTTTACTTTAGTGTTTCTATTTAATGCTTATTTATGATTCTAATTCGGAGAAATAATGTATTTTTAATTCCACTATTCGACAGATTTTGCTGTTACATATTACACCACACAACAGAAAATAGTTCAAATTAACTCGACCTCAATTAAAATGCTGCTTACACATTAAGGTAATAATCCAATAATATACAATCATATAACCCTTGGGACCGTTCTTCTATTCATTATTTAAAAAATCTTTACATTTTCTGTAAAAAAAAAGAAAAAAAAGAAATACATGTCTGAAATCTTACATATCTCCTGTGAAAATAATTGGTATCCTCCAACCACATAAATACAGACAAAATCATAGGAAATGGAAACAAAAAATCTAATTGGAGAAGAGAGATAGAGGAGATACAAAAAGGGAAAAGTCCTGTAAGTACATGAAAAGAGATGATAAACAAATTAAATGCCAGCTGTATTTGTGAAATTTCACACTGAAAGAGGTGTAACATTTTATCAAAAAGAGCTCACAAGAAAACAGCTGCAACTGGCGAGGAACTGAATTATATCCACTGCCTCAAACATATTATCATAATGACCAAAAATATAGTATTACACACCAACATACTCTTAACCAACATAGAGACCTCTAGAGCTGTTTCAATAAACAGTATATTAAGTCAAAAGCAGAGATGGAAAGTAACTAAGTACATTTAGTCAAGTATTGTACTTGAGTACATTTTTGAGGTACTCATACTATACTTTCCAGTTAATGTACTTTATACTTCTATTCCACTATATTTGCCTCATAGCTGTAGGTACTGTTAAGCTTGAGATTTTACATTAAAAACATTGGATAAGCTTGTACATGTGAAAATTATGCATTGTTATCTATTAAACCAAACTTCACCAATATCAATATCTGCTGGAAGCTCAAAAAGGTACAAGTATCCAATATTTTTGGAAAAGAGCACACATCTGTACAGCAGAGCATTTTTACTTTCTTTCCTGCCCCATTTATCACTCATAACCCTTTAGATGCATCTGGTGGCCCTATATAGACCCCTCTAGGGGCTGTATAGGTTGGGAACCACTGAGCTAAACCATCTAACTTTTCTGTATAAAGTAGCCTAGTTAAAACTAGCTCCACCATTAAAACTACAACAGCAAAGTACTGATTACACATGAATGCATCTGTAATAATCTAATAGTATAATGTTAAATAACATTCACAGAGGACATTTTTCTGCAGAGAAAGTACTTTTAACTTAGTGCTGATGAATACTTCTACTTAAGTGGGGTTTTAAATTAAGTACTATTCTTTGTAATGTAGTATTTGAAATTGTGGTTTTTGTCACTCTGCCATGAGCAGGGAGGTGACAGCTGGTGTGTATGTGTTTGAGTTATTTTGTCATTTTTGAATGTGTGAGAGATGCTTGGTGGGTTTTTGTCTTGTCTGTCTACATGTGGTGTCTTCCTCTCCCTCAGGGCAGAGTTGTGGGCCTTATCTCTGGGAGCTGGGTGTGTTCCCCCAGCTGCAGGCAATCAGCATTTCACACACCTGTCTCCTGTGATCATCTGGGCTGGTTTATATACCCCGCCATCTCCACGGTGCCCCGCTGGATTTTTAAGTCTTATAGGTAATGTTACGACCTGCCTGACCTGCCTAACCTGCCCTCTGCCCTCTGCCCTCTGCCTCGACTGTTTTCCTGTGCCCTGTTTTTGTGTCTTTTGGAGACCCTGCCCTGCCCTGGAGTCGCTCAGTCACGGAGAACGCCTGGCTGGAGATCTCCCCACAGTAGACGCTCTTCCCATTCAGCCCTGTTACCCGCCTTGCCTGCCTTTGCTCTTACCTGCCCCGCCACACCAGAGGAACCTACCTCCTGCACCAAGCCTTTCAACCATATCTTGTGTTCAATAAACTGAGTAAATATCCTTCCGAGCTGAGTTCTTGTTTGCATTTGGGTTCGAGCCACAAAATCCCTGACAGTTTTAGCACTTTTAATTAACTGATCTGAGTACTTCTTCCACCTCTGGTTAAAAAAAAAAAAACGCATTTACATTAAAAACAAATTTATTTAAAAGGTATAAATTTCACTTTTATCAGTTTGATTGATAATTACCCTGCATACCTCTTTCACCAACCATACAAGCATTATTTGATTAAGATACACAGTTCCATAGAAATGTAATTTGTATCATTTGACACCCCATCTCTGTTAGTCTTTTTCTTTCAATATACCCCCCCCCCCCCCCCCCCATCCTCCTTCACCCTCCCCTGCTGGCCATCTCCTCACCCTTGCTGTGTGCGTTGTCAATAATTGATGATCCTTACTGACTCAAAGGGTAACAGGCCTGGGAGTAAATGTCTCACCCATTTCTTTATTCACAGGTCTATATTTAAGTTCAGTCAGTCTGAGAAACCACTACGAGTGGTTATTCAAGTGCGAAGGATCGATGGCAGGAAGCAGCTTGACTGTGTCCGTTTTACCGTTTTGGGGGAGCTTGTGAGCATGAGCACGTTAATTCTGCCTGTCTGGCTGACAGCAGGACAGAGAGAGGAAAGGGAAGCTTAAATGAGTGAGAGGCAGGGGGCAGAGAGGAGGAGGAGGAGTGACAGAATGATAGAGTGAATTAATTCAACCTTAGCCTGATTGACTCAGTAGCAAACCGGCATGTACAAACATTCACAGTGACACCAAAGCCATGGAGAGAGAAAAGAGGAATGACATGTCTTTCTCCAGAAAGAGAAGTTTCACTTTTGGGGCATATGGAGGGTGAGTAAAAACACTGTTTGTCTCAGATTAGGACTGGCATTTTTCCACCACAAGTCAATTTAGTAGCTACACTGAATAAATGACATTTTTAGATGTAAGTAATCCTGTCTTTGTAAGATGATCAGTTGTCTTCAAGTAGTTCTTACTTCCTTGTTTACAGTGTGGACAGATTCACATGTGGGGATGAGACGAGGTGAGGATTACATTTTCCCTTTTATCGCAGCTGTTTCGAACTAACATTGATGTACAATGTAAGAACTGAATGGGAAGTGATTGTGCTGTCTTCTTCTGTAAATTAACCTGTTGCTGCAGACCTGAATCTACAGAGGACAATATACTGGGCATCCTGGACTCGCCCGCCAGTGAGAGCAAGCCTTTCCTCCCTGCCAGCAGCAACCAGAGGGTGATATCATTAACATATCCAGCGTGCACCTTTCCCCCCCTATTTTAATTAAACATACTTAATGTATTTCCATGTCATGCCTCTCTGAGAAGCCAACTTTCCGTTCGCAACTGAAGCGTTTGTCATGTTCCTCTTCCTCCCCATTTCTCCTTCCCGTTCTCTGCGTCTGCCTTTCTGTCTGACGTCTAACTGCCTGTTGTTCATATCAGGACACAGAGCTGTTTGAAATCATTGAAAAGCTGCAGGTGAGTTACAGTGGGATTGATTTTGTGCAGTGTGTGTGTTCAGTGGTGTCTGAGTAGCATAAGTTTCTTATCAATACTCCTCTTGTCCATCAGGGCAGCAGGATCGATGAGCAGCGGTGTGAATTCCCTCTCCCTCTGAAGGTGAGTCTTCAGTCTGAGAAATCTATATACGGGTTGAAACCCACGTGACTGTTGACGCTGACCTTTCTATGAACGCCACGACATTTGTTTCCCCAAACAACAGAAACAACAGGCCCACATCATCACCAGGTGCTCCTTTGTGTCTATTTTAGTCTCAGCTTTTAACGATAGGTGGAGACCTGCCGCTCATCCTCCCTTCAAAGTTGGGGGGCTACTGGATAAACCCCCCTCTGGAGCGGCTCGTAGACGTGAGTCCCACCTCGTCCCACTATGGCCAAGATCCAGAGAGCTACGACATCATGGAGAGAGACGGAGAGGCCAAAATCTACCACGAGTTCTTCCGCTCACGAGTAAGTAGACTTTATATGAAGTCTCAAGGCATACACCATCTTTCCTGGACTGGTATTTATGTCTTATCTTTCCCCCGCCCTTTAGTACCATCACTCCTTCACAGCAGTGGATCCATCTTTGGGGCCCCTGGTTCTCTCCGTGTGTTTGGAGGAAGAGGAGAACAAGTTGCGGGTGATACTGAGGTTGAGATTTTCAGCCACTTTAGCCAACTATGAGCGAATTTTTGGATCACATTTTTGAGTGGAGTCCCACTCCTCTCAAAAATGTGTCCAGCTTAAATGTACTTCACTTGGATGAAGTATGTGCAGAGTTTCACATTCATCTGCTGAAGGTTGAAAGTTTCTCTGCTTACCTCAACTTGTACACACGTGCATGTTTTCATGATGAACTTGAAACCACCAGTGCCCATATAAGGAGAAGGAGTATGTGTAATTTTAAAGAATTATTCAACAAGGTGATTGACCTTTTTTGTGCGAAAACATATCAGGCAACAACTATTCAAAAGCATTCAAAGCAGAGTATATTTATGTCTTAAAACATGCCTGGAGGAGATCTTTACATTTTCATTTGAATGTATCTGTATGTAGTAACTGCTATTACCAAGCGATAGAGCATCACATTCAATTATACATAGACTGT